TACAGAAAGGACTAAACGACGCTCTAGGATGATTGATGAACGAAAAAAAAAGTGTAACACTGTGACATAAAGGAGCGTCCCTACTAAAAATACGTAGCACCGAAAACAAAGATAATTCATCAGCTATATCCTCCGCACTCCAATTAAAACTAGATTCCAAGAAGTAAATCAGGTTTAGCTCTACTCTGAGACACATCTGCGAATTTCATAAATAGTTTCCAGAGTGAGTTTTCGATCTAGAAACTAACACTTTTTGAAAAAAAAATCAAAATTGTATAACAACATTGTGAAATTTAATGTTGAAACAATGTGATGACATCGGCTCATTAAATGGCATAATTAACATTACCAAAATTGTATGAAATAACATACTCATGTACTTGTGGTTTACGAATTTACCTTGATTTTGTTTATTTTTACTGTACTTATTTGTTTATGGTTTAATCCACCTTCTTCTTTAAAGAAACAGTATGCAACCGTGTTACAGTTAGTGTGGCTATAATAATAATAATATTCAAAACATTTTGTTCCATTGGGACTTTATTAATGATTTTAGTCAACTGTCGTCAGGAAAAACAAATTTCAACGTGATGTTCTTTTGATGTTTAAACTAGGGATGTACCGACGAGTGGCCGACCCGTCGGATAAGCCGACTATTCGGCCGTTTTTCATCGTCGGCTGCAGTCGGCGACTGGTCGGCTAAACAGCCGATCGGTCGGCTTTTTCTATTAAAATAAAAATTGTATATAAAACAATTAAACCCGGTTTACAGAACCTCAATTAATTATTTAATTGCGATTTAATTTTCAACCCCGCGTTGAAGTACCTACCATGTGACCGACTTTACGCCAATCAGACGTCGCTAATGGCCTTGTTAAATGCGCGATCAACTTAAAGTCAGTTAAAATATTGTATAGACTGTCCCTAAATTGTGTTATTCTTTATTTTTGTACCGAGTTCTTAAAAAAAATTAAATGTTAAAATTATCCAAACAAATTTAACACATTTTTTGGAAAACAAAAAAACTTTAGTTATTCCTTTTATTAAAATAAAACAAATTTTTAAGGTAGTCAGAGAAATAGAAAAAAAAACACACTGTCTGTCGCATTTATAAACCGGTTTTAGCAAAGCCGAACAGTCGGCCGACTAGTCGGTTTTTACTGGCCGAACAATCGGCTAGTCGGTTAACTGCTTCACGAAATACTCGCACAGTGTTTCTTAACAACGTTGTAAATATCAGCAACGATAAAATTAAAGTCCGCAAATTTTTCTTGGAATTCTTATAAAAAAACACCATTGTTATAATGCCATTCGTATGTTTACTATGAGAGAGAAACGATGACGGACGCCTCTGTATGGGCGAGCACCCCTTAAATTAGAATTTGAACTTAGTCCGACTGATTTTGTGCTTCTACACCCTTTGTTGTTTTAAGAAAATTACCACAAGTATTCGCAATTTTTAGCGTGTATGTATGTTACTTAATAGAATTAATTTAAGCAGTTGATTGTTATTGAGAAATATGCAGGTACGAAAATCTAATACCTGCAAATAATCGCTTCGGGAATTAGTTAAATTGTAAACAAAAACAATCTATAGGTAGTTTCATTTTTTTATCCTTAAAATTACAAAAAAAATTTACAAAAATATTTACATCTCAATATATATAAAAAAATACATAAATATATACAAATATATACAAGACAATTAAATTTGGTCCGCATTTGCCAAGATCAAAACAAACTCACACAAGAGACAGTTTCCACTATAAATCTCAGTTAGAAGATACACATCTTCAGCAAACTGAGGACAACCTGGAGCGAGTACATGGGCTATAGAATGCTGATTCATCGAACCAGGCTCCACAGGTTGAAGCAGCGTCACGCACTCTTGCAAAATTTTATTTTGGTGCATACATGTTTGCCTCAGCCACAGATTCCTGTGTTCCTCGGTACTGGTATAAAAAAAATCAATTTTCATCTCGTCATATTGCAAAATTGATTGCGATATCTTCGCGTAATTTGGGGAATCCTCTGTGCACTCGTGGTCTTCCAGAAACGTGTCATCGCCACTTCGGACCTTCACATATACCATGCGGAACGGACTGCCCATTTTTGAAGATGTCTGTAAAAAATTGTAATAATTAATTACCAATGAAGCACCAACAATTTTACTTCGAAATAAAATAAATGAAAAATGGTTACATACCTTTTTAGTTGTTGCGGAAGCCAACTATAAAGTCTCTAGAAATCTTGGATCTTGGATGTTCACCACGTCGAAGAGCGTTTCGAGAGAGAATGCGGTTTTAAGGCATTTAGGGGATATTTATGGGGTGTTTTGACTTGTTCTGATTGGTCGCTGGCGTGACGAATAAGGGAGGACGTTAATGGAGAGGGGTAAACGATGTTGTCACTGTGGCTTTACAATTTCTAGTTTGAGCAAATGTGATTGGAACAATAAAGAATTTGATTATTGACATGAGTTAAACTATGATAATAAACACCTCGATGACAACTAAGTAATTACAATTAATTCACCTTAACTGAAATTGATACATTCACAAAACAAATTAAACAATTTTTATTTTATTTGATCAAATACCTACTGTATTAATGCAATTGGCATGATGGAATTAAATTAATAAAATTAGATCCTTTTTAATTAACTTTGACCCGGTTTATAGAACGAGAATTAAAGTTAATTCTCGATTAAAACCATGCAAAGAAAAACAAACGCCTGAAACTAAATGAGTCAGAAAGTAAAGGAGTTAGACAACGACACAGAAATATGTATTATGATTTATAAGAAATTTTACAAGTTTTTAAGTAAGTATACGAATTAATCACATGACTTAATGAAAAAATTAAAGTACCAACGTCGGTATGGATCAATTTCGCGGATCCGATTACTGGTTATCTATAGATATTAATGCTCTCGCTGCGATGAAATTTTACTGGAAAACTATTTATTGCGACGCATTTTGTAATTGAAAGTGCATACCTACATAAAAGTTTCTTTAAACAAATTAATAAAAGAGATTTAGATTTAGTCTAGCTAAATTAAAACAGTTGGGTATGGTCTTGGAAATGCCCCTAGTCTAAAACACTTAGAATGTGAGATTTTTAGTAACTTTTCATAGGTGAGTTGTTATTATTATGTTACGAATATGTTGCAATGGATAAATCTAAATTTCAAATTCGCAATTATTGAAAGTTACAGGTACTAAAAAGGGAAAATCCATTATGGAAATTTTTTGTAAATTGAATTTTAATTTGGGAGACTCATTAATTAGTAGCGTAGGTCTTCTGTTTCAAATTGATATATTTCATACTTATAAATTATTATATTAACTAAATTATTATTAACATTAATAATAAATTCATTCTGTTCTGAAATATACCTACCTATCTAATTTTTTTTTCATTTTCCCAAGCACAATTTCTTATTTTATCAGTGGATATGTTTAACGTAAAATAGTGATGAATTTCACGACTTTATACGTAATATTCTTCTAAAGGGTCCACCTTTCAAATTCTTCTGGAATAAAAAGAAATTCCATCAATGTCACAAAATGTAATTAAAGCATAATTAAATTTTGAACTAAAATCTCATAGTATTAAATTCGTTTTTTTCTTGTAGGTACCATGTTAATCAGCAAAATAACAGAATATGATCCTTTTTTAATAGAGGAATAAATTAACTTTCATCAAAACACGTGGGTATTTTCCACCTCATTACTTGTTTGATTAATTCCGCTGCTTACTCCTAAATTCTGTACTTCCAAGAAACATTATTTGCCAGGAGCTAATACTTTAGTGATAATACTGTGACGGCTTTAAAATTTGTCAAGCCAGGTGCTTTAAATTTCACCGACCCTGCAACCTGTTAAATTTTACAACCCATTATACCTGGTAGTGTCCCTTAATGGGGCTGTCAAGTTTAATTTATTTGTTGTTGTTATTTTCTATTCTAAAAGTAATAATCTACTTAAGAAGGGTTCCCCACCTTGATCCAACTTCGTTTTGAGAAGTGAACAATATTTTATTAACGAAAATGTGTTTATGCATATTTGATTCACAGAAGCTTTGAGAGAGATGATGTCAAAGTTATTACAATATTCCTTCTATTCCTATTGTTGTCATTGTTCACTTTTTGAAAGATTCTACTATGGTTATTAATTTTTTAAAGACCTTGCATCAAAAAATACGTTTACTGGCCACTCAGTCACAGATTTTTTTCTTACAATAAAAACTGTTTTCTTTGTGTTTATACCTACCAATATTGATTTTATTTCCTTCCTAGAAAGATCCATATAAAAATTCACAGAGCAAGTGAATACTTCAGAAAAAACATTTCCTGACGCAGTTAGTTAGTTTTAGTGGGTTTAAGTTTAAGTTGTTGATTGTTGCACTCAGATACTAAAATCTAAACATAGGTAGTTGTAATAATTTCAAAAAATGGCTCCGAACTGTAAGAACCTGAAAAATAATGATTTTCCATTCTAAGAAACTTTAATGCTTTTGAATATTTATTGAAAATGACTACAGTTATTTGGCAACTAGAACAATCTGGAAACGCGGAAAACCTAACTAATGAAAGTCACACAATTTTTGCACACACTTGGAGGTGTGATAAAAAAAAACTTTGAAATGTGTGTCAGTAGGTATATGTATTATAAACAGCGTTCTTCTCTAATACACTTACAATTACTAATTAGGTACATGTTTTAAAAAACACACACAATTAATCAAAATTATCAATTGAATTTAATCTAATAAAAAGAACATGAGTTTGCACAATACAAAGTCGTCGTTGTCGTCATAAATTTCTGTAACTATGAAGATCGGATCCGTGGAGGTTCTGTCAAAAACGACAGCATTGTAAGCCGCCTCCACAGGAATAAAATATCCACATCGAGCATTTTCCACTATCGGAGGAAGCGCAATCTCAATCCTGTCAATGCACATTTACCGATGAAACATTTCTTGCTTTAACCGCAGATCTAGATATTGTGTGGAACTTCGATAGAAATAGTTGAAGTCGACCACTCCGTTCCAGAAGATCGATTGCGACGTCGGTGTCGTCGCAGTAGTGATAATCACAAGGGACGTTGTTGGGTTCCCGGAAAACGATAAGTTCCATGCGGAAATCGTGAAAATCCATGGCTGCAGGCATCTGGAAAAAAATATGAATTAGCCTCTGGATTTGGAGATGGTTTGAAAAATGTAGTTTTTTTAGAAAAGGAGAAAATGAAGACTATGTACATACCTTAGTTTTCAAAACACTTGGCTAACCAATCGACGAACATGGGCAAAAAAAAAGATTTATGCATGGAATTTCGAAAATATTTACGAAAGTGGACAAATGGGGTTGCAAGTGGAAGATTTTGAAAGTCATTCTTTAAGTTATTCTAATTTATGAAAAACATAATAAATAACACTATATTTTTTGTTTAATTACAAGCCTTTTTGGTTTTAAATAATTCAATAGAAATAATTTTTTAATGATCTTACGTCCAATAAACATCAATTGACAAAAATTAACTGTTTAAAATCTTAGCAAATCAAAAACGAAAACAGTTCCATTCATGATTTTATCTTAGGTAGGTAGAGAGAGAATGACAGACATAATTAAAGCATTGAAATTTAAGAGCTATAAACACCAGTACTGAAGCATAAATTGTCGAAATCTTTGTAATGTGATTGTAACACCTGAGCAGCAAACTGCTTAATTTAAATCTTGTTGAAATGTTTACATTCTACAAGAATTTCTCATACCTTTGGTAATTTACTGAAAGCAACAAAGGGTAAAGAGATTAGTTTAATGTTCTGTAAATAATGGGCCGAAATTACACTGGTACCTGTGGTCGTCTCAGCTGCGATCCAAACTGATAACAGCAGCGAATAAAAATTTACATAAATTTTAGCTGCTTCTATGAATTTTTATTATTACAAGGTATTGAAATTTTATCGAACTCTTATTCTATGAACCTACTCCACTATTATTTTAATACTTTCCAATTTTTGTTTAGCAGAATTTTTTTAATCAAAAGTGTAGTAACACAAGAAAAAGATCATATGCTTACGGTGGTAATTAGTAGCTTATTTTATATTTCATTATGTATAAATAAATTTGTAAACAAGTTGAACAATCAAATTTTCTTCATAACCATTGTGCAAAATTTGTTTCATACCGCCATCATCATTTCATCACTAAGCGTAGAAAATTTATTTTCACATTTGACTTTCGCGCTTATAACATGAATTGGGAAATCGAAAAGTTTAAAAGCCGAAAAGTCGAAAAAAGAGAAAGCGAGAAATTGAAAAATCACTTCAATTCAAAAACTCAATCATCGAAATGTATAAAAGTCGAGAAATTGAAAAATCTAAAAATTGGAAAATCGAGAAGGGCCAAAATCGAAAAATGAAAAATCGAGAAACTGAACAATTTAAAATTAATCGATAAACAGAAAAATCGAAAAATTGAAAAATTCAAAAATCAAAAATTTAAAAATTTAAACGTGGAAAAATCGAAAACCCGAGAAATCGAAAAATCGAAAACTCTAATTTAAAAAATCGAAAAATTGAAAAGTCCAATTATCGTAGAATTGGAAAATATCAAAAAGCCGAAAACCCGAAAAGTGGAAACATCGAAAAGTTTCAAAATGAAAAATCGAAAAATTCAACATAAAAAAATGATGAATTGAAAAAAACTGAAAAACAGAAATATTTAAGAACTTAAAAATCGTAAGATCAAAAAATCGAAAAATTGAAAAATTAAAAAGTCGAAAATTTAAAAAATCGAAAAGTCAGAAATAAATAGAAAACCGAGAAATCGACAAACCGAAGATTCAGTTTATGAATGAAAAATCGTAAAACTGAAGAATCGAAAAATCGAAGATTCTAAAAGGTGAAAATTCGAAAACCCGAGAAATCGGAAAATCGAAACACCGAAAAATCCAAAAACTGAAACATCGAGAAATCAAAATATTTAAAGATCCGGAAATCGAATAGTGGAGAAGGCGAAAAATCCGAAATTTCAGAAACCGAAAAATGGAAGTAAAAATTTGAAAAACTTTCAATCAAAAAATCGATTCATCGAAAAACTGAAAGACTGAAAACTTGACAGTGTGAAATATCGATTAATCAAAAAATCAAAAATCGAAGACGAAAAATCAAAAATCCAAAAATCGAAAATCCAAAATTTAAAAATTGAAGAACCAAAAAAACGAAAAATCTAAAAAATGAAAAATCTGAAAACAAAAATATCGCATTCGAAAAGTTGAAAAGCCGAAAAGTCGAAAAAGAAAAAGCGAGAAATTGAAAAACATTTCAATCCAAAATCTGAATAACCGAAATCTACAGTCGAGAAGTTGGAAAATCTAAAAATAGGGAAAACGAAACGGGCCAAAATCGAAAAATGAAAAATTAAAAAATTGAAACAACTAAAATCCGAAAACCCGATTAATTGATTTTAAAAATGATACTGTTTTTCTTTTAGAAGAGGTGCCGTAGTGGTATTCTAAAGTCAATTTAAGCAAAGCGATACTCCCTGTTATGGCAAATTTCGTGTGATCTTACAACTTTTTTGTGAATTTTTAAAAAACTTTATCAAGGTTCCAATTTTCTCCTCATGAAAATTTCGACCTTTTTTCGACCATTTTCGAAAACTATTTACCACATTTTTTATATCTTTCGACCTCCAAAAATTACCTACTTTCGGCATCACTTCTTCGAAAACTTCTACCATCTTTCCAGAATCGCCACAAAATTTAGGTATGTTTTTTTTTTAAGAAGTTGAATATCAAACATAAAATCGTACTCCTGGATTACAAGCACGCTGTATTTTTACTGTGAGTGCGTACATCGTCGCGATCTATAGATATCCTCCTAGGATTTTTTGTGGATTTTAGTTCAAGTTTTTAAAAAGTACTTAGCCATATAAAAAAATTTCGACGATTTTTTTATCACCTTCGAACACTTCCCAAAGAGTTTTCCACCTTCAGAAATTTATTTCGGCTATATTATTCGAATTAATTTGTAGCGATTTATCCCAGAATGTTTGCTAGGTTTTGATGAAACTTTTTAAAAAGCTCAATTTTTCAAGTGTCACTATAAAAGTAGAGTCCATTAACATTAACAAATATTTAAACGGAAACTGTGGTTTGTGCATTGTGTAAAGATTTGTGAAGCAAGTTATTTTTTTGATTAAATCGTTAAGGGGACTCAAGCATTTTTTTCAAAATTTTAGCAATAGTTACGGTTATTATTGATAGGTGCCTCATTGTACTTACCTAATCCAACTAATATCTTGGTAATTGCCTAATAGTTTTAGAAAATATAAATTAAAAAAGCATTTCACCTTTTTATCGCAATTCATGTTTGTAAGGGATATATCTATGTTTTCTGAAAGTGTGGTAAAATAATTGCATTTTTCTATTTAGAATAACACAGTTTATTAGTATAAATACAGAATAGGTATAATACAAAAGAAAAGAATTTATAATACAAAAAAAATCTACATTTAATATTTAGTGTCTGCCACTGCGACGACAAATTTTCTTCTCACTCGAACGGAAACTTCTTAGTTGGTGAGAGCGGTCTACAATATATTCGACCGAAGTTTCTACCCGTATATAAAAATCTTCCCAGGTCACGTGAAATGGGCTTCAAGTGCATAAAATTACAAAGCCTGGGACGATTACATCTGCCCATCTCGTAGTGACGACAGCACGCTTCCCTGACATCAATCACAGGACACAGCTCGGCCTGGATAATCCGTCCTCCAAACCGACTATTATTCAAATCGTTAACGGCCTTCTCTGCATCTTCTTCGCGTCGAAATTTGATATAAACATTACCTCTGAGATGATCTCCCAGGTTACCACAAACATTCATCTCTTCGATCTCTCCGTACTTATATTCGCACTCTACGAAAACGTCCTCGAAAAAATTATCGAAGTGTTCTTGGTTTCCTTCGGAAGATTTCGCTGAATTTTGCGGATTTTCGTATAGGTTTCGCAAAATACAAGTTTGGGAACTCGTTGGCTTGTTGTGAATATGGGAACAGCGGTCTCCGTGCCGACAGACTCCAGTTTTCTCGTACAAGGGACAATCGACTTTGTCGTTCTCGATGCGGTAGATTGAGGCTAAAAATTCGGCCATCGTAAGACTTCTTGAAATTGTTAACTAACCACCTTGAAAGTGTAAGATTAACTGAGGATTTAAGGTTTTTCCTGTACATTTATAAGGTGGCGAGGATAATGGTCGCTTTCCATTCTATTGGGGTGGGAGTTATGTACGAGATTATTGGTCGGTAGATGAGAGGGCAAAAGTAGGAAAATTTCAATGGAGGGGGCTAATGAATCAATGACGCAAATTATGTAGGTATGGATTTAATTTAAGACGGTGTCATTCGGGTTGGTTTGGAACAATTTTCTTTCCAAGTTTGTTCTCGCTTAAACACGAGGCAAATAGACTTAGAGTGATAGTTTTTTTTTGTAACAATTCTTGCTAGATATATTTTGTCCGTCTTTTATTAAAATTTGTTTTTTTAGGCTATTTTTGGTCAAAAAAAAAAAATTGCAAACATGCAAAAATTGACCACATTTATGTTGCGCTTCCAAAGTTCACATTATGTTATGATCAAAATTATCAAAACAGGAACTTACAGTGGACTTTTGGATAATGTTGTTTTTCGATAAATATTGCAGAATTGATATAAAGCCGGCATAAAGCAAACGGTACAGACGTAAAAATTTGATGTTTTTTTCAATTGAACACCCGTTATATTGTACACTGCTATTCAAAATAAGTATTTTAACGGATCATTGCATCAAGAAAACTCAATGAAGAGACATAAAAATTCAGAAAAGGAAAGTCATTTTGTAAGATTCTGTGAAAAAAGAACTGTAGGTAAGTAAGAAAAACAAAAATTCCAGAATTGAAAAAATTCTAAAACTGAAAAATCTAAAAAATGGAGAAAATAAAAAATTGAAAATCAACAAATCGAAAAGTCGAAAAATCGAAGTCGAAAATTCGAAAAATTGATTAAACGGAAAATTGAAAATCGAGAAATTGTAGGTACCGAAAATTTGTTTTCCAAAAATCTCGTCAAGGATAAAAATTCAACACGGAATCAAAAGCCACAAGTTCAGAACTATGTTGCTTGTTAACATTTAAAAAAGTAACATTTATTCGACAAAATTGTAACATCACACAAATCTGTTATAAATAAATATTGAAGAAAACCATGTTTATAGGCAAAAAAATACAGAAGGTAATGTTTTACCTATAAAATGATTTTAAGAATGATACTGTTTTTCTTTTAGAAGAAGATCAAATTAATCCCAATCACCTGCATCCGCATTTCATTGGCTTATTTATTGAGAGATACAAATTTAAGTCTATTTTGTCAAGTAGTCGAATCTGCACTTAAAATATCCAAGTTAAAGGGTAATTAAATTTTGAAATTACTTCTGGTGTTAATACCGTTTTTTCTTGTACACTGTTAATTTGCATTCCATCGAAGTATGCTTTAATTGTCAATAAGACTGAATAAGCCTACGACCTACGCATACACGCGCAAAATAAAATGTCGAAAACCCTATGGAATTGATCCCCTTTTGTTATAAATCGCGATAATTCCATAATTCATACCTACACCTAAATTGGAATAATAAATATTAATAAAAAAAACTCGGTTGTCTGTAAAGTCGGTTTACTGACGATAGTTGAACGTGACAACGTCTTAAGAAAATACTGATGGAATGGTTTTGGGCTTTTGATTTTGAAGCAGCGATTATTGGCTGCGCGAATGGCGTTGCTAAAGTAAATGCTACAGCATCTTGAACCTCCATGGGTTCACTCATGGAAGGTAAAGGCTTATTCGTAACATCCTCTGGTTTGTCAGGCTTTTTTTCCATGGTGCGTTTGTAAGCAGTTCTGCAAAATAAATCGTCGTTCGAAACAATTTAAATAAAATTCTTAAAATATTATCGTTGTCACGTCAAAATTGACACTACATTCACTTTTCACTGCACTTGATACTCGACCAAAACATGTAAATCGCTCTCGCAGCTGTCCACGCAGACGCATCGCTCACTCAAGTAGGAGAGAGACGGATGGCGAACGCTGCCGAACGCGAAGGCCGATTGTGCCTCTTTGTCGCTCGTTCCGCGTTCTCGCTTGCACTTCAAGCCTTACATGGAACGTGACAGTAACGGTATGAGTCATGCTTTTTCGAGCGTGCAGCCGGCTCCATCGATTTATAAGACGTTATCACGTCAATAAATTTCCAAAAATAACAGGTTTTTTTCAGAATGGAACAATTTTTAAGAGATCGGGTACACCTCTGGAATTAGGGTCGCCTACTTTCGCCCCGGCATCTTCTCGGTAGGCAGCGTTCGTTGCGCCACGCCCCCGAAACGTCCATAAGTCAGGCCAAAATATCAAACGCCCTAAAACTGCAGTTGCTCTGTTGCTTCCAATATTCTTTAACTAACTAATTGTATATTTTTTTGCAGATGATTTCGGGGATTATAGTTCCAAATTCATTCCGTATGAAGTATCTTACCGCCCGTGGCCAAGATAATTCCGTGTGGGTGCATAAAGAATGCGAAGACAACTGTCGCCACTACATCACAATGAAAAAATCCATTTTCTCGGAGGGAACAGTTAAATTCGAGCTTTTTTATAAAAGCCCCGCACAGTATTAACTTAAAGCTGAGGCAGACATTCCTTCGTGGGACGAATTTCATCAACGAGACCACGACGCCACTTCCGTCGGGAGTGGCTGAATTCGATTTCCGGAACGTCCATTCCGTTCCGGTTATTCTGCCCCCGGATTCGGCTGCGTTAGACACAACATTCAGTGAAGACGTGGTGTTAGTTTTAGAAATTTTGGATACAAAATTTGTACTATGCGAAGTAATAGTTTTCTTAAACAATTAACTTCGCTGGTAGGTGATATAATAAGTATTGTTAATTTTATGTGTATTTTTTCATTGTACATATTATGAGTATATTGAACAATAAATCAAATTTTATAAGTTACAATCATGTTATTGCATTTTAATTTACTCTCCCAAATATATGGACTAATCGTGTTACCCTTCTTGGCTTTTCGATTTTTCGCCTTTTCGGATTTTCGATTTTTCGTTTCTCCAGTTTTCCGATTTTTCAATTTTTTGACTTTTCACGTATTGAATCTTCGGTTTCTCAATTTTTCGGTTTTCTGTTGTACGGCTTTTCGATTTATCAAATTTTCGATTTTTGAATTTTTCAATTTTTCGACTTTTCGATTTATCGATTAATTTTAATTTGTTCAGTTTTTCAATTTTTCATTTTTCGATTTTTGCCCATTTCGTATTCCCAATTTTTAGATTTTTCAACTTCTGGACTTGCAGATTTCGGCCATTCAGTTTTTGAATTGAAATGATTTATCAATTTTCGCTTTCTCCTTTTTCGATTTTTCGGCTTTTCAATTTTTCGATTTCCTAATTCTTTTCCTTATGGTGCCCGCTTTGGGCTCCCTTGCCTTAGATGGAATTTTTTTCGTTCCAGAAAAATTTTTTCGGTGAGCAGTTTAGAAGAATATTTAAAACCAACTGAAAAACTAAAAATCGAGAAACTTAAAAACAGAATAAATCGAATCGAATCCAAAAATTTGAAAACCCTATAATTTTAAAATTGAAAAATGATAATAAAACTGAAAGACGAAAAACTGCAATACTGAAATATCGAAAAACTGAAAAATTAAACACAGAGACGATGAAAAATTGAAAATCGAAAAATTGAAAAATCGATTAAATGAAAAAGTGACAAAGGAAAAAATTTTGAAAATTATAATTAGGTATTAATCGATACATATTTAAAATGAAAACTAGAAAAATTACAAATCAAAAATTGAAGAAACAAAAAATTGAAAACTAAACTTTGAAGAATCGAAAAATTGCAAATCGAAGAATAGAAACATCCTAAAACTAAAAATTTTCACTTTGAAAAAAAGAAAAATTAGAAAATTAGAATTCTGAAAACCGAGAAATTGAAAAAAATAAAGAAAACGAGGAACCGAAACCAAAATTTGCAAATCGAAAAATTGAAGAAATGAAAAATTGCAAATCGAATAGGCACGTGAAAAATAGAATAAATGCAAATTGCAAATTGAAGAATTGAAAAAACGAAAAATTAAAATACTGAATAATGACACAAAGTCATGTTCTTTTGTTTAGTTTAAATTGTCAGTAGGTAATTTTGATTAAGTGTGTGTGTTTTTTTAAAATATGTATTTACCTATTTAGTAATTGTAAGTGTATTAGAAAAGAACGCTGTTTAAAATACATATACAAACACATATTCCAATGTTTTTTTTTTATCTTACCTCCAAGTGTGTGCAAATATTATGTGACTTTCATTGCTTAGGATTTCCGCATTTCCAGATTGTTCTAATTCGTGATTATTCAGGTTCTTACAGACAAGTTTGGAGCCATTTTTTGAAATTATTACAACTATGTTTAGATTTTAGTATCTGAGTGCAACAATCAACAACTTAAACTTAAACCCACTAAAACTAACTAACTGCGTCAGGAAATGTTTTTTCTGCAGTATTTACTTGATGCTCTGTGAATATCTATATGTATCTTTCTATGAAGGAAATAAAATCAGTATTGGTAGGTATAAACATAAAGAAAAGTGTTTTTATTACAAGAAAAAAAATCTGTGAATGAGTGGCTAGTCAACGTTGTTTTTGACGCAAGGTGTTTAAAAAATTAATAACTAAAGTAGAGTCTTTCAAAAAGTGAACAATGACAATAAACCGCCTAGGATTGTTGTAATAACGTTGACCTCATCTCTCATCACGTGCCTGAAAGAAACAGTGTTTTTGTGAATTAAATGTGTCTAAACACATTTTCGTTTATAAAATATTGTATACCTACCGTTCAAAACGAAATTGGAAGAAGGTGAAGAACCCTTCTTAAGGAGATTATTACTTTTAGGATAGAAAATAACAACAACAACTACATTAAAATTTACACCCCATTAAGGGACAGTAGCAGGTATAATGGGTTGTAAAGTTTAAGCAGGTGCAGGGTCGGTGAAATTTAAAGTACCTGGCGTAACAACATTTAAAGCCGTCACAATATTATCACAAAAGTGTCTGTCAA